AAGTTGTGTGCTTCAAGTCTATTCTTATCAAAGTATGGAGCTATGGATCTAGCTAAGTATGAAAAAAAGACAAAATCTGTAACTTATAATTTAAGTAGCTAACTCATTTTTCACTGGGAAACAAATCAACCAAATGAACCTTATTTTTTCTTAATAAAGATCTGTCCTAATTTTTCAACTCAAGTATAACACAGGCAGTTCCCATGGCAACCATATTACTTGGGCACATAGCAGTAGCTGAGCATCGGCTCCTAGCGTTTCCCCACTCATCCTTTCAAAATGACACAAGCTCACAGCTTGGGTGTTGTATTTACATTCTTAATTGCAATGTCCTAGGTGAAATGAAAATTAGGATCCAGATATTTAACTAGGAAATCATTGTGGACAAGTGTTTCCAGGTAAGGAATCCTGAAAGAGCAACATACCCAAGACCCCCCATGTGTGTGCCTCACACAGCATCACATCTAAGAAACACCCACATGCCTCTCCCAATCCACTCCCACATCAACTGGAATTAGGGCTTCAAAAACTAGAAAACTCTCTTCACTCTGGTACCGTATTCCTAGGCAAGTTATACCGAGATATTCCAAGATACTGACAAATATTAGTTAATAACTGGAATAATTGGAATGCCTGTAACTTCCTTGATCTGAAGGCATACATTTTATTCACCGTGTTAAAAAAAACCCATAATCTGTTGATCAAACATTCCATGTGCTCTACAAAGTACAAAGTGTTTTGAACAGAGAAATATAACAGAAGGATAAATTGATAGCTAACTTATTTTTAGATATTAGCCATGCCCTGGGTATTAGAACTTTTTCTAAACTCTTCTATGACTTCCCTGCTAATTTGTACATGGTTTCTAAGCCACCTCTAATGGCCTATTTATCTAATGGAAATGGTAAGCTTATTTACATTTTTACCAGTATCCTCTGATAGTCCCTACAAAAATAATTAATAGTCAACCTGCCATGAATTTAGAAGTGTATCAGAAGTAAAGGAAATCAAGTAGAGGAAATAAATGAAAACAAAAATGAGCCATTTGGTTGGAGAGGTTTATATTAAATTTAGAAATATTGATTCTCTGGATGTGGCTAGAGAAGAGAGAGATTAAGGGTTTTGTTTTCCAATGCATGATTTGGAATCTTAACATACATTTCAAAAAACATCATCACTTATTGCTATAAATATTTTCTCAGTATCACTGATAAATATTTATTTGTAAAACATTGTCTTTGTTGCGTTGGTTACAGGAAGTGCACCATAGTGTGTGTGTAAGTGAAGCAAGGTATATACATACCCATTCCCCTAACTCAGGGCCGACCAAGCTAATCAATCATAATGATCTTTCTCACTGATGAACCCTGACTCTTTAGACTTGAGAAATCCATTATCCATCAGCTAGTACCAGGATTCAGGGTGAAGCCCCTCCCCCATCTTTGGTGTGAGGGCAGGTCCATGTCCCTATTTACTGGCTGTATTTATTAGGAAGGGTCTATAGCTTGTTCTGCTGCCCTCACCTGACTGTTGCTTGGTTAAATGACTGAGATCACATGAATGTGTTTTCTAATCTGTGATTCCCAATGACACATTGCTTGAGAAATTTGATTAATTTTTTTGTAGTAGGAACAACATCATCTCCCTAGTTGACCTCACTCTTTCCAGACACATTTAATCTATTTTGGAAATGTGGTTTCTGCATTTTTGGTTTTCATTAAAATAGTGCACACCTGTAATGCCCTTCTCATGCTACCTGGTACTAACTAGAGGGAAAAGCTGCCGCTGGAGGAGAAAGCTGGAAACCTTACACTTGGCTCATCGCTATGGGGTCTGGCAGGGCTTTCTGCTCGGCTGGAGGCTGTGTGATTAATAGGCCCTCTTCCCAATTATACAGGTATTATACTTGTCTTCCTTTGGAGGCAGATGCGAGATATCTGTGTATGTGCCATGCAAATGTGGGCTTTGTGAGAGCTAATTTCAAAACCAGCCAGGTGTTGATTAGCAAAAGACAGCACAATGGGGTGACAGGCATTCCAGGGGTCAGGAGTCTGTGAAAGAAGAGTGCAGGGAAAGTGGGGAAAGGAGCTGCAGAGATCCAGAGTTAATCAAGAGCAAGAGCTGAGAGAGCAGCCGTTGATGAAAGCTGATGTAAGCCAGATATCCTGGAAGGGAGGGCAGTTTCAAAGACTCTGAGAAAAACAGTAAGAGTGAGGAGGGTTTAGCTGGCTTTACACAAAACAGAATGAAACCAGGAAGCCAAGTTTGTACCCCAAATGCACAAGCCATGACATCCCTTGCCCAGTCCTGAAAATGTATGTTTTTCTGCCTGGCTTGCATCCTCGGGAACCTTGTTCCAGTTTGGACTGTGACAACTTCAAGGGTGGAGACCCCATTGTCTGTTTCTCTAGATGGCTTAGGGCACAGGCACTGGGGAGCAATCACTGGACCTGATGGAATGGAATGTTTTATGGCCAGGGAGATAGAAGGTCTGGGTATCAAAAGGGGAGGAGCAGAGATCCAAGACACCATTTTTTTACAAACCATCACAGCACAAGTGATCCAGAATGGCTACAGGACAACATCTTTGGAAGGTTTCCAGTAACTACACAGAGTGAATTGTTCAGTGAAACTCTTTTGGGTTTGCAGTGGGAAACTGCAGTGAAGATTTCCTGAGGTTTGCTGTACACAGGCACTTTCAGCCCAAGGCTAGCTAGACAACAGCAGGTAGTCAGTGTAGTCAGTGTGTTGAAGCTTGTCCAAGGAATGGCTTCAGTACACAATGGGGAACTTATCCTCAGGTGTTCCACAGTCAGAATTCCAAAAGAATACCAGAAGAAGGAAGTACAAGTGAGAATGAAAGAATTAAAAATGCTACATCTTGTGACTGCTTGCTCAAACTATTTCTTCACTACATTGGAGCCGATGTAGACCAGAGATGTGAAAACCAGTAATTTGAATTATTGGTTGCATCTGCTCTGGGGGCCACTCCAGCCAGATTATTTGTACTCTAGCCAGTTTGTTTTTATACAGATTCTTTTTTAACCTATGCAAAAATATTTTTTCTTAGGGTGGTATGGCAGCATCAACATATGATTCCATGTTTGAGTGTATTTCTTTGGAAATTCCCTGTGTGCCAACATTTTAGGTGGGAATTAAAAAATTTGTGAATATAGTTATACACACATTAATTCAAATAACTCTGTAAAATCATATATTACTATCCATACACATGAACTGTATCTTCATATTATGCTTGAAATATAGGTGGAAGTTTGCTATAATGTCATGGGTATAATTTTTAAAAAAATCTTCCAAAGAAAATAATTTTGTTTAAAAAGCTCTTCTTTGTAATATCTATATCAAGATATTTTACCTGTCGTCAAATCCCAGAAATATTTCACTTTTCCCATATGAGAATGAATATCATTTTAAATGAATTTTAAAGAACAATATGGCTATTTCCATGTCATCAATCCTAACAATCCTTTATTTCAAGATGAGCAAAATGACCATTTCTGGAGTTTAAAACTATTACACAGGATTTTGTTTCTTTGAAAACGTAACAGCATATTTAAGGGAGATTGCACAATGCTGTAGCCAGAATGTAATTCGAATGCTCTGAAAACTCTTTAAGTGAGTTTCCAGATATTTGTAGTTCTGCCTTCTCCCTAGCCATTTAGTGATTGGTGGGATTGTCTGGCAGGTGGAGGATGATACACAGTGGCCCGAGCTTCTCCTCCATCCAGTGCACCTGCACCTGTGTGGACTCTCCCTGGCCATCTGTGATCTCAGGCCTGGGGACTCAAGTTGACTGGGTGGCCGTGCCAGTACCTCTGCCCCCTCAGTGAGTGTTAGCAGAGCCTCCTGCTGGCACATGGAACAAACCTTTAGGGCTCTAGTGACAGAAATTTAGGAAGTATTTGCTAGTACGGTATACTTATAACACATATATGTTGTGATATACATTTATTTTTATACTAGAAGAATTTTATATAAACTAATTAGTGCCATTCAATTCAGAACTTCTCATTTCTTACTATTCCATTGATATTGTAAGTCAATATCACTCCCAAAGGGATGAATTGAGGAAAGAGGTGAAAGCCAAATTCTACTTGAATTATTAGTTGCTGACAATTTTAAGACTATGCAGATTCACTGCAGATCTATGTGGAATCTAAGAAAAATGCATAAGGTTCTATATCTGGAGTGAATAAATGGATTCACGAACAGTATGACAAAGTTGCCTCAATATGTAAATCTCACAATATAATAGTTTTAATAAACGTTCCTCTTGAGAAAGGGATGTTTTTATTTATATCTTTATCCCAATAACACAACGTAAAATGACTTATGTTATATAGCAAGAAGATCTTATCCAAATTTGTTGTTTGTATTTGGCTTGTATTTATTTGTATTTGGTTTGGGTTTGTATTTGGTTCTTTATTGGTACAGTACTATGAAACACAGGGCATAAAAGACAAAAAGTAAGATCAACAGAAAAGCTGAATTGTTCTGTGAAGGGAGGGGAGGTGATAAAATGTGATGGATCATTCCTGGGGGAAATCTGGTAAGAAAGGAGAGAGGGCAAATTGAGAAGAGAAATCTTCGTGCTGGCAGCTCAGTCAAAGCAACCCCGGGGGAGGGAGGGAGGGAGGAGATATCCACCGCAATCTTACGCTGGCCATGGAGCACATTACCTTCTACCCCCGCCCCCCGTTCCCTCTGGAGCCTTTGGAAAGTCTCCCTAAAAGCCAAATAATCATGTCTCAGCTTGCTTGACGGCCTATGTAAAATGCTGATCAGATCAAAGGCTGAAGACAGTCAGCTCACCTAGTCCAGAGGGTCGCTCGGTTTAGCACTATAAATCCCTATTCCAAGAGACATCAGTTAGGAAAAAGCTAAACGCCCACAGTTTCCCTACAGATTCTATTCATGCGTGTTGTTTGCCCAGAAACGAACCCAGTGGGCTGGAATGAGTGGCTAGTGCGGACACTCACTGCGAGGGCGATCTGCAGGGCGCTGTGGGCCACTTCTACGTACTGGTACTCCAGGAGACAGCCCGACACCGTGATGTAGCGGTGGTCCTCCGGGGCCCAGTCAGGGGCGGGGGTCACCGACGTCACCATGCACCCCGGTCCATTTTCCATCCACCAGGATCGATGCATCGAAATGTTAAAAGTCAGCAGAAGGTCTGTTTCCTGCAAGAAGGCAGCCGATGAGGATGGGAGCGACTTTGGGAATCTTAACTTACCTAGGACTAACTTGCCATGAGTTTCCTGTTTAAAAACATGGGGTCCCCCTTCCCCCTTCCCTTATCACATTTTACAGGCAGCCAAGAAGCATCTAAAGTCTACCTGTCTACGAATTACACCTTTGAAGGTTTGCCTGTCCACATTAGATGGAATTATTTTATTAGAAAAAATACCCATGATTTACATTAACATTGAAGAGTCCTTACATTTTAGGATTTGTGAATATTACACAAGGGATGATTTCATCTGCATCATAAGGTAAAATTCTTGCTATTATATACTGCTGTACTTTTCTCTTCCACAAAATATTCATCATACATTTTAATCGCAAATGTGTATTTCAGTATAGCCACAATTAATGTTGCAGTTAATGTGAGGATTTATAATACTGGATGTACTTTCTGGTTCCATGTGAATTTTAGCTTTATTTTCTCCATTTCTGTGAAGGATGCTAACAAATGGGATCATATCAAATTAAAAAGCCTCTGCACCACCAAATAATCAACACCATGGAAAGAAAACCTACAGAATGGGAAAAAAATTTTCCAGCTATTCCTCAGACAGAGGACTCATATGTAGAACATATAATGAACCTAAAAATATTAGATCCCCCCAAATAAAAGACTCAATTAAAAATTGGGCAAATGAAATGAGCAGGCACTTCACAGAGGAAGTACAGATACATGGAGAAACACTCCACACAGCTGGCCATTAAAGAAATGTAATTTAAAACAACACTGAGATTTCATCTACCTCAGAAAGAATGGCCACCATCGAGAATCAAATAATAACAAATGCTGGTGAGGATGTGGGTAAAAAGGAGCCTTTTTTACATTATTGGTAGAAATATGAATTAGTACAACCACTACAGAAATCATTATGGAGATTTCTGAAAAATCTAAAACTAGGAATTCCATTTGACCTAGATATTCCCCTTCTAGGTATCTTTCCAAAAGAGTTACAGGCATTCTATTACAGTGATGTATGCACATCCATGTTTATAGCAGCACGATTCATAATAGTAAATCTTGGAAGCAGCCTATATGTCCATCAACAGATGAATTGATAAAATGTGGCATTTAAACAAAATGGAGTAATAGTTTGCCATAAAGAAAGACAAATTTGAGTCATTTGTAGTAAAACGGATGCACTTTGAGACCATAATGTTAAGTGAAATAAATCAGACACACAAGCTGAAATACCACCTGGCTTCTCATATATGAGGAAAGCCAAGTTATAAATAAAGAGCAAAATAAAAGATAGCTCATAGGAAGTAAGGAGATAGATCTTTCTCAAGTGGGAAGGGGGTCAGGAGATGAAGGGAGGGGAAGGAAAAGGGATGAAAAATGAATGAAGACGTGTTGTGTACACAGACCAATTCAACACCAGGAATGGAAACATTATGTACTGCATATATGTACGAATAAAAAAGAACAATAAACTCAATTAAAAGAAAAATTTGAAGTTCCTAAGTAATAAAACATAATATTAATTAGTTTCCCCCTTTCCTATTGCCATCATCCCTAGTCATTCACAAGAAATTGATCCAGGATTTTCAACTCCTGTGTATATCAAATCCAAGGAGGCTCAAGTACCTTATATAAGAAGGCACTTGGTTGGATACAGATACAGAATCTGTGGATACAGAGGGTGCATTTTATTTTAGCAAATCAATATCCATTCAATGTTATCAACTTCTACAGTGAGTGTGGTCATGATATTTCTTATGAATTGGCAAATTTTGCAGGTTGGAGATGCAAAGTGAACTGCTCTTCAGATGACTTTCGTCATAGTGTGGGTGATGCACACCTCTAAACAGTATTAAAGCTGAGTTTCTGTGACCAGTGCTCATGATCACAGGTGCCAACAGGAAGCTCTCAAGAGCATAGGAACCAATCTGGGTTTCCAGGAAGAGAACCATTAAAGGGAAGTGGCCAACATTCTCCATTACTCAGCAAGTCATGAGGGAAGATAAATTCTGAGGGAGGCTCAATGGCGAGAACTGGAGCTGTCAGTCTCAGGGATAGTGGTGGCCACACTAGAGTTATGACCTAACTACCATGCAATGTGAGGTGCCAGGTGGACAGATGGACTACACAGAGCCTGTACAGAAAATGTCTTAAATCATGTTTTGTGACCTTGAGTCACACACACTGAGAATACGAAAGGGTAGAATTGAGTTGCCAACTCAACTCCAAAGGGAATTTGGAGGTAGGAAGGACGAGTCCCTAGGAAGATGCTGTGCTATGTCATCACCTTCACGGTGGTGCTTGGGAAAGGGAGGGGATTTCTGTTCTTCCTGAGCCTACTGAGAAGGGCTGCAAGCATGCCTCGGAACTGAGGAGAGGCAGCGACTAGTGTCTAATTCAAGTCTGATAAGTCTCAAAATAAAGCTTTTGGCTAGAATAACCTTCTAAGTGGCCAAACAAAATGTTGGCAGTGTTTAGAAGGAAATTACATCGATACATATAATAGATCTAGGGTGATAATCTTTGGGAGCAGATGTGGGCCATGCTAGGTGAGCTAAGACAGGCTTTTTCCTCAGTGGTTTCCCAGGTGGCCAGCTGGTGGGGGATTATGGCAGGATCTACTGCCACACACTCCCAGGGTCTGAGGAGGGAAATGTGATAGGGCCAGTATGCATGATACATCAACCAAGCCACATACTTGCCAAGGAGATATTAAGTGCAATTAAACCCAGAGAAATGCTGTGAGAGTCGATTTCATCGCCTACCAAAGTCTGTTAGTATATAGTTTTCCTACCTCCTTATCACTTCTCCCTTTTTAATATTCCAGGCATGGAAAATTTTGAAACTTCAGATAATAATTGTGACTTAGCCAGTAAATGGTTTCTAAAGACAGAAGAGGTAAAATCCTGTGCACCCAGCTCTTTCCCATGGGAGGGTGTGACAGGTGTGTCTAGGTGTGTATGAAGGTGTGACTTTGGGTACTATGTGTAACCCTTCCTGGTTCCTGGCTCCTGGCTGCCAAGCACTAAGCAGCTTTTCTCTGCCAGGCCCTTCCTCCACGATGTTTCTGCAATGGAGCCAGCGGGTCATAGACTCAATTCCCCGAAATCTTGAGCTAAATTGAATCTTTCCTCCTTTAAGTTATGAGGGTTGCATTTCATGTCCAGCAATGGCAAATCTGACTAATAAAAAGGGAAACATTTGATTTTGAATGAAATTTGGATTTTTATTACAATGTTGAACAGCTATGTCCATTTCTGAACAGAAGTTGTTTTGTGAATCATAATGAATTCAGATGACTTTTCATTAGTTGAAGAAAAGGAGAATGTCTACCATGTATGTTATCCAGTGGCAGCAGAAGAACCAGGTCTATTGGTAGATTATGACACAAGTACGAGAATGGAATAAGTTTTCTATCTCTCTCACAATCTTAATCATTTAATGTTTGGTTACCAAAAGCCCAATGAGTCACTAGTGCCTAATGACTCATGAGAAAAGGATTCAAAGGGAAACAAACAAACAAAAAAGACTAAATTGTAATGACAGCCAGGCCTGGACAGCCTGGGAACAACACATTCTGGTTTCCTAACAGCTGGCGATTCTACCTTAATGGCTGTAGCTCAAGGCCTCAGTAGGGCTCAGTAGGCCTCCCTCTCTGGCAGAAAACCATGACTGGACATGAAGCTCCAGTAGAAGAAAATGGCAAAGAGAGTTTTATGAGACTTAAAACTTGGTTATTTACATTATCACTCTTAATCTGTTGAGGCAATAATTGTTTCTCAGAAAACTTGACAAATTGGTAAACAATTATGCATGAGTTTTTCAGGGACAGCATTATTTCAAACAGGGATCAAAGCACTTATAGTGGGAACATGGTTGTTGGTTACAGGTCTATCATGAATTGGGCAATGAAAGTCTCTGTTTTTGGAAACCTCTTACTATTATCCCAGAGAGACAGCTGGTCACTATGGCAGCAGAGACAAATTCATAAATGCATTGACATAAGGCTTTACTGTGGGGGTCAGGAGTATTCATTTATCTATTAATTATATCCTAAGTACTGCCCTGAAGAGAGCTGTCATGATAAAGAATGTAAATATTATTAAAACAAGGGTAAGGAATAAAGGCCAGTAAGTGATGATGATAGATCCAGGAAACTGAGATGTCTGGGCCTCATTGGGTGCACAGTCCCACACTGGTGTGCTGGTCCTAAGAACAACACACGGTGGGCTGGGGATTTAGCTCAATGATGCCATGCCTGTCTCACAAGCACAAGGTCATGAGTTCGATCCCTGGTGCCTAAATAAATAAATAGTAAAGAACAACACATGGTGAGCACAGCTATGATTATCTACAAAACAATGACAGGTGCCAAATTCCCCAAGAAGGGTGATCTTTTCTTTCCTAATACTAACTTCTTAAGATGAATTATCAATTTTATAAACATTTTTACATGAACTCCATTGGGTTGTATTTTCAGTGGATTATGTTCCCCTAAGTTTCAAGGATATTAGCAAGTTTTAGTGGACAACGGAGGTATCTTTAGTTCTTTCCACCACAGTGACTGTATTATTTCACGAGGGTAGCAAAGTACTACAGATTGGGTGGCTTTAGAAATTCACAGTTGTCTTGTAGTTGTGTAGGCTAAAAGTCTGAAATCAAGGCACAAGTGGAATTTGTTTCTTCTGAGCTGGAGGACACGCCTGTTCCATGTCCCTGATGGGATGCTGGTGGCACTCGGCACTTGTTGGCTTGAGAAAGCACTGCCCTGAGCTCTGCCTTCATTTGTCATGGCTGTGGGCGTCCTCCCTGTGGCCCAATTTCTCCCTTATAAGCACATCAGTCAAACTGGCCTAGAGTAGTGATGGCCAACCTTTTAGAGTTTTCGGTGATAACAAACAGCTGGCTGTGGCACGCATGCCAGAGTTTCACTCCCACTGCCCTCGAGTCCTCTCTAATGATCTCATTTTAACTAAC